ATGGCTTCATCAAGTTTGACACAGGTAACCTATGTGTGGTGACTGGAGGCAACTTGGAAAGAATTGGTGTGATTACCAACAGAGACATTCAGGCTCTTTTGATATGGTTCACATGAAAGATGTCGATGGCAACAGCTTTGCCACTTAGCTTTACAACATTTTTGTTATTGGCAAAGGCAATAAACCATGGATTTCTCTTCCCCAAGAAAAAGAAATCCACCTCACCATTGCTCAAACAAGAACAATAAGCTAGCTGCCAAGCAAAGCAGTGGATGAAATGGTCTCTAGAAGACATGCTAGAGAAGTTTGTGTTCTTCCAACAAGCTAGGTGGCATGATGGAGGGGCTATTAGAGAGCATCATGATTTTTTTTTTTTTTAATCTGTGGCTCTAGTACAAATTCAACCATTTTTTCTTAAAGAGATAGTAAATTTTTGGCCCTAAGGTCCATATAGTCTGTTATAAATATTCAATGCTGCCTTGATACGGCAAAAGAAACCATGAGCAATATGTAAATGAGTGTTCTAATCAAATGTTATTCACAAAAACAAGCACTGAACTTGACATTAGTTTGCCAACCCCATGTTCCAAAGAGACCCAAAAGGTGGAGAGCCAAAGAACAGAAAACACAAAAGTCTTCTTAATCCAGTAATCAAATTAATCCACTATGCAGCTGATCTATTAATCAAATGAAGTCAATACCCAGACTGTAAAGTGTTTAACACACAGAAATCTGACTCTCTGTTCCAAAGGTCTAAGGTGCATCTCAATTATCAAATGAAGAACTGGTAGTAACAATCTCCAAGACCTGGTTTAATACTGAAATTCTCTGTGTTCAGTTGCAGATAGTAACACCAGTGCCTGGAGAGGTTAAATCACATTGCCTTCAAACCATAAATATTATCGGGAAAAAAAAATAGCCATGGGAGACAAAGTCACAGGAAAAATGAGCATCTCTAAACAGAGGTCTTTGTGCAACTGATTAGACAGTAAGCAAATGAGTAGTTCCTATTTCAAATCAATATTTATTTAGCACAGACTCCAATTTAGAAAACTTAGGTCCCTGTCTTATCACTTACTTTCCACTTACTAAGTAAGGCTCTATAACCTTGAACTTTTTCCTCCACAAGTAATCTGAAAGATTAACACAGGGATTACTATGGTGGGAAAGAGTATAAAAAAGTAACTCAATAGAAAATTGTCAAGACAGTATATGTTAATAAAATCATATCAAGAATTGCAACAATTGTCACTGGGTATGGTGGTGCACGCCTTTAATCACAGCACTCAGGAAGCAAAGACATCTCTGTGATATCGAGGCCAGTCTAGGATGGTCTACATAGCAAGTTTCAAGCCATCAGGGGCTGCATAGTGAGACCTTGCCACCCCCAAAAAAACTGTCTAAGCATACCAATTAAAAGACAAAAACCAAGCCGGGCGTGGTGGCACACACACCTGTAGTACCAGCACTTGGAAGGCAGAGGCAGGCGGATCTCTGTGAGTTCAAGGCCAGCCTAGTCTACACAGTGAGTTCCAGGACAGCTGGGGCTACAGGGAGACCCTGCTTCAAAAAAGACAAAAAAAAAAAATGTTTTTTATGTTATGTGTATGGGTGTCAAGCACAAGACCCATGCCAACTCAATCAGACAAGGGCCCAGAGTAGTCTAGAACTGTTGGAGACTGATTACTGCTGGGTGAGGGACAGTAAACCTTCCTTCTTAAGACCTCTAGATAAACTGACAAGACTCCAGTGGATGAACTTACACCAAAAGACATCCAGGTAAAATGCCTGACCTGATGGGATTTAACATGTATGGCACAATATATGAGGCCCGATGGGGTAGGGAGTGTGGAGGCATGGATGGTGGATGGGTTCTTAAGAACTATTGTATGAAATGTACAAAAGCACAATAAAAAATATTTTTAAAACAAAAACCAGAATCCAGAATATAGGCATCTTCTGTGCTTCCTGTTTATTAGGTAAGCTGCTCTGACCTCCAATGCCCTCCCATCATGATGGACTGAAACCATGGACCAAAATCAATCTTTCTTCCCTTGCTTCCTGAAGTATTTTGTCACAGGAACAAAAAACTAACACCATCCTGCCAACACCTAATCTTGGACTTATTCCAGAACTGTGAAAAATACATTTCTGTTGTTAAGCCATCAATTACGTGGTATTTGGTTATGGCAGCCAAAGCAGACAAATATATCATACTAAGAATCTTTAGCATGTTTTTTAAAGTCTGGTTGTAAGCCACTGAGCTTTTAAATCAGGAATATGCTCACTTTATCTGAGAAGGAACATTCTAGCTGCAAAGGAGAAAAGGGATCAAATCAAAGCAAGACCAGAACAGACTGATGAGGGCACTGTGGTGGGCACTAAGGCCATCAGAATAAATGAGATGTCAGGTTAGTTGTGTACACCTATAGTCCCAGCAACTTGGGAGGCTGAGACAAAAAGTTTGTGTCCAGAGGTTTGAGACCAGTGTGGGTGTGTGCTGGACAGCTTTAGTTGTCAATGTGACACACCTGGGTAGAGGAAGCCTCAACTGGGGATTCAGTCAATAAAGTGATTGCTGTGCAAGTATGAGGACCTGAGTTCAGATCCCTAGAACTCAAGCAAAAAACTAGGCATGGTGGCACACAAGAAAGAAGAGACAGCCAGATCCCTGAAGCTCATTGGCTAGTCAGCTTAGTCAAACCGATGGGCTTCAAGTTCAGTGAAAGACCCTGTCTCAGTGGAGAGAGCTAGTGAATGGGCTTCTCTAGGAAGCTGCAATTAAATTACTTACCACTAGCTATATATACTGTTTTGGTGACTCTTAAATTCTATCTTAGGTTTCTGAAAGAACTTATTTTTCTTTTCTCTCTCTTTTTGATAAGATTACAGGGTGACGCTGGGGGTGCCTTGGATGGCATTACAATCCAGTAAGATAAAACCAGGAGCCACTACGGTTGAACAAGGGGATTAGGACATGCCCTATTACTGTACAGGGGGTTTCTGGTGAGATTCCTAGAAAATTCTAGGATTATAGTTAGGAAGGGAAAAGGTCCTTAAATACATATTGCTGTGTTGTAAGAATTCTTGATTCTCAGCTGGCAAGAGGCTTCAACCAGACTGCAAACACAAGTTCCTTTCCTTCCCATGTCCCCATAATTTCTCTTCTTTCTACCCTGCCTCAGTTCCTTCCACCAATTGCAGCCTAACATAGGCACAGATACTGGACTCCCCTAAAACAGTTATGTGTGTACTGTTCCTATTCAGTCAGAGTACAAAAATATGCATGGATATGGCAGATTTCAGGTTAATGGCAAACTCCAAGGAAAGAAAACAGGAGACAAGAAACAAAGTCAGGCTTTAGTTTTCTTCTTGAAAGCAGCTCTAAAGCAAACATATTTACACCTAATCTAAATAGTAAGTACAAAGGTACTTATTCTTGCATCTGTTGGTATATTAAAATTGTTTCATAGTTTTAAATAGTTTTAAATATTATAATAGGCCAGGCATGGTGGCACACTCCTTTAATCCCAGCACTCGGGAGGCAGAGGCAGGCGGATCTCTGTGAGTTCAAGGCCAGCCTGGTCTACATAGTGAGTTCCAGGACAGCTGGGGCTACAGGGAGACCCTGTCTCAAAAAGACCATAAATAAATAAATAAATAAATAAATAAATAAATAAATAAATATAATAGAAAAAAATAATTACAATTAAGAAGGCTTCCAAGGGACTGGAGATAGCTTAGCAGTTAAGAGCACTGGCTGTTCTTGCAGAAGACCCGGTTTCAAATCCCAACACCCACATGACAGCTAACAACTGTCCATAACTCCAGTTCCAGAGAATCCAACAATCTCTTCTGTCCTCCATAGGCACTGCATTGCATGACATGGGTGCACTTACATACATGCAGGCAATACACACACATACATAAAATAAAAATATTTTTTTAAAAAGGCTTCCAAATTGCTATTAATTTTTTTTACCATGAAGCAGAGCATCATGTATAGTTTCCTGTAAATAAGCCATGAAAAGAAGTCAATAAACAGAGTAGGAAATGAAAATTTTCCTCAGCTCTTCTTTTTCTAAGCTCTTAACATCATGGGTGTTCTGTTCCTCTATTTGAGTTGGTAATTTGAGAGTTAGATAGCTTTTACTGTATAGAGAAAATTCCAAGTTCATAGGGAAGAAAATTTTACAGATATATAAGAACATACATAATTTAAGAGATTAGTTTTAATATTTTCCCTATAAAAACAATAACTATATTATATGACGATTAACCAGTGTGCTAAAATTTCAGTATGTATGAAAAGGATATAAATGAGAGAGTAAAGGCACATATCTTTATTGTCAAACTTTTATTAAAAGTTCATTATCTGGCCGGGCACGGTGGCACATACCTTTAATCCCAGCACTTGGGAGGCAGAGGTAGGTGGATCTCTGTGAGTTCAAGGCCAGCCTGGTGTACACAGCAAGTTCCAGGCCAGCTGGAACTACAGGGAGACCCTGTCTCAAAAACAGACCAAAAATAAAAGGGCTGGAGAGCTGGCTCAGCAGTTAAGAGCACTGACTGCTCTTGCAGAGGACCCAGGTTCGATTCCCAGTACCCACATGGCGGCTACGAACCATCCTTAACTCCAGTCCCAGGGGAATCCAAAGCCCTCTTCTGACCTCCAAAGCATTGCACAACACGGGTGCACTTACATACATGCAGGCAATACACTCATACACATGAAATAAAAATAATAAAGAAAAGAAAAAGAAAAAGATGTGAGAGAAACATAGTGGGCTTGAAAATATTTACCATCCATATCAAAGCAATATAATTTGAATTAGAAAAACAAAACAAAAAGTTCATTATTTGTATAAGTAAAAACTAAGGATGAAAAAAAGAACATTAACTCAAACATTCAATCCCTGAAGCATGGTTTCACACTTGTGCTTTACCAATGCTGCCCCTATGGATGAGTCTCATTCACTGTGATTTAAAGCCTGCACCAAGTGCTTGCTTCAGCAGCACAGAAACAAAACTGGAATGACAAAGACAAGGCAAGGATGGCCCCTGCTCAAGGATGACAAGCCAGTTCATGAAGCATTACATACTTTTAGGTCTTTACATGACAGAATGCATGAAAACCAGTGGGGTGCAGACAGGGGAGGGGTTCTAAATATGATCAAGAGATATAAATTTGCAAAAAAAAAAAATTAAGAATTTTTTTTAATTTTTAAAAATGTATTTAATAATCACATAATTAGTAGAAGCATTTCATTACAACAGCATTGACATAGTCAATAACAGTTTCCAGAGCAAAGATGCATCTCTTTCAAAATTTGCTGTAAATTTTTAGGTTCACAGTGTTGAATTAATAGTTATACATTATTGTACTCAGTATAAACCCTGTAAGACATAAAATTGAATGTGGTTTTAGCCTTTAAAAAAGATCTCTAGCCAGGCATGGTGGTGCACACCTTTAATCCTAGCACTTGGGAGGCAGAGGCAGGCAGAGGCAGGCAGATCTTTGTGCGTTCAAGGCCAGCCTGGTCTACATAGTGAGTTCAGGTCAGCTGGGACTACAGGGAGACCCTGTCTCAAAAGACAAAAAAAAGAAAAATTTAAAACATTAAGAAAAGAATTATATTTGAGGAAGAAGCATAAAAATTTGCTTCATGTTAATTAGTAGATATGAAAAACATTACCATTGCAATCTACCTGATGACTTTATATCCATGCTCAGGTGCCAAGGAGCTCAGAAAGTAACTGACTGTGACTAGTAATAATCAGATATATAGAGATTAGAGATGCATGTGTAAACATCTAAGTGTTAGTAGCATTAAAAATGAGTTTTTCTACCCAGGCATGGTAACGCACGCCTGTAGTCCCAGCACTTAGGAGGCAGAGGCAGGTGAATCTCTGTGAGAACAAGGCCATCCTGGTCTACATAGCAAGTTCTAGGCCAGCTGGGGCTCCAGGGAGACCTTGATCCCAAACAAACACAAACACAAAAAAAAAGTATGATACCCAATGACACTAAAAATTAGAGAGAAATGCTGGGCATGGTGGCACACTCCTAACAAGCGGGTCTCTGTGAGTTCAAGGCCAGCCTAATCTACATAGTGAGTTCCAGGAGACCCTGTTCAAAAATAAAAAAAAATTAAATTAGTCCTCAGCAGCAAACAGTAAATGTTTTCAAGATTTAAGCTTCAATTAACTGAGATTTTCAATTGAAATTTTTTAAATACTAACTTCTGTTTTGTTTTCTTTTGTTTTTTTGCTTGCTTGTTTGTTTTTTCCAAGACAGGGTCTCTCTGGAGCCCCAGCTGTTCTGGAACTTGATATATAACCCAGGCCGGTCTCCATCTCACAGAGATCCACCTGCCTCTGCCTCCCAAGTGCTGGGACTAAAGGTGCGCCCCACCATGCCTGGCTAAACACTAAATTTTTTCAGTATCTTATTTTCATTTCATATGTATAAATGGCCGACATGTGTTATGTAAGTGCACCCGTGTTGTGCGATGCCCAAGTTGGTCAGAAGAGAGCATCAGATCCCCTGGAACTGGAATTAGGACGTTAGCAGTCATGTGGTGCTGGGAACCGAACCCAGGTCCTCTGCAAAAGCAGCCAGTGCTCTTAAGCACTGAGCCGTCTCTCCAGCCTTGCTAATTTATTTTTAAAAGAAAGAAAGAAAGAAAGAAAGAAAGAAAGAAAGAAAGAAAGAAAGAATCCACAAAGATTTATGAGAGGGATACAAGACACAAGTGATTCGACTTTAGAAATGCCCGTATCATGGTACTAATAATGTGTTCAAGTGCACAGAATTGGTTTGGTATCACTGGTAAAAAATGGTTTCCCGCCTTTTCCCTCGTCGGACGTCTGGAGACACAATGGGTCACCAGCAGCTCTACTGGAGTCACCCGGGGAAACAGCCAGGGTTCTCACTCCTGCCGCTCTAACAGCCATGGTCTGATCAGGAAGTACTGGCTGAACATGTGCCAGCAGTGTTTCCACCAGTATGCAAAGGACATAGGCTTCATTAGGTTGGACTAAGCAACCTTGAATGGATGAATTCAAGACCATCTACTCAGTGAAAGAGATCATGCTTGTCTTTGTACATAAATTTAAAAAATTCAAATCCTGGGCTGGAGAGATGGCTTAGCAGTTAAGAACACTGGCTATTCTTGCAGAAGACCTGGGATCCAATTCCAGGACCCACATGGCAGCTAACAACTATCCATAACTCTCTTCTGACTTCCACGGGCATTGCACGACACAGGTGCACTTACCTACATGCAGGCAATACA